TTGCGTGGGAACGCAAAAGTATTGCGAGGGAATGCAAAAGTATTGCGAGGGAACGCAAAAGTATTGCGAGGGAATGCAAAGGTATTGCGAGGGAATGAATAAGTACTGCGAGGCAACGCAAAGGTATTGCGTGGGAACGCAAAAGTATTGCGAGGGAATGCAAAAGTATTGCGAGGGAATGCAAAAGTATTGCGAGGGAACGCAAAAGTATTACGTGGGAACACAAAAGTATTGCAAGGGAACGCAAAAGTATTGCGAGGGAACGCAAAAGTATTATGTGGGAACGCAAAAGTATTGTGAGGGAACGCAAAAGTATTGCGTGGGAACACAAAAGTATTGCGAGGGAACGCAAAAGTATTACGTGGGAAAGCAAAAGTATTGCGAGGGAACGCAAAAGTATTATGTGGGAACGCAAAAGTATTGTGAGGGAACGCAAAAGTATTGCGTGGGAACACAAAAGTATTGCGAGGGAACGCAAAAGTATTACGTGGGAAAGCAAAAGTATTGTGAGGGAACGCAAAAGTATTATGTGGGAACGCAAGAGTATTGCGAGGGAACGCAAAAGTATTGCGAGGGAACGCAAAAGTATTGCGTTCCCACGCAAAGGTATTGCGTCCCATCGCGGGCTCCGCAGATTTGTGTGCGAGGATGTTGAAAAAAATGCTTGGCCCCTCTATGATTATTGTGGCCCCTTGATGGCCCCTTACACTGAAAAGTCCTAGACCCGCCAGTGAGTCCTTCACAAAGTTACGGCCTCCTAAGCTTCAATCTATGCACAGTTCAAACACTGAAGGAAGGAGGTTTTAGTCTGGGTGATTTATTTATTTATTTAAAAATCTGTTAAAAGCTGCAGAACCTTAAAAAATGTTGTTGTATAAAAAAGGAATTTATTGTACAGAAAACTCTGTCTCCTTATCTGTCCCCTGAAGTGTCCTGTATCTGGTCCATTTTTATGTCTCCCTCTCGGTCAAAGTGTCCCTACAGTCCAATAAAATCTACAGGTTTAATGAGAAGTTTAAAATCATTAAACCTTGTTTTGTCTTTTTAGCAGTCAATGCAAAACTTTATTTCTGATAAGGTAAATTTTCTGGATTATGGCTAATTAATTGCCTGAAGATATAATGTTTTTGCATGTGTGAGTTTTCGAGCACGTGTTACCTTTTGTGTAACTAATATACTCAGTGGGGAATCACTGCACTGCTCCTTATGGGTTCCAAAGCTTCATTAGCTCAAATGCTGTTTTTTTCTTCGTTTTGGGGGGGGGGGGGGGGGGGGGGCTAGGTTGAAATGTTGAAATGAATAAAAAATCAATGAAAGTCAATGCAAAGTCCCAGTGACACGAACATGATATACAAGTGTGTATTAGTCAGCTGTGTCTGATTGTTATGCAACCTTCAAGGAATGGTTTACAGTCACGCTTAAATACAAATATGTTGTTACTGTTGCAACGTGAGGACTAACAGGTAGCAAAACGACACAAACAAAAAAAAACCCTTCTGACTAGTCCTTCACAAACTGTTTAATGAATGAGAGGGATATTTTTGGAGCTAATACTGTGTTTATAAGTTCAAGTCAATAATCTAATGATTACAATGTTTTACAAATTTTGCAAAAATGTAAAACTCAGGACAGTTTATGAAAAACAGTTTGAATTGTAGTGCATCTCAATAATCTGAAAAATCTAACAAGGTCTGGTCCTCTGGACTGGTTCTTTGTTGAAATGTTTTATCCACAAGATTTTTTCAGTCTGAGGAGTTTCTTCGACTGAAAAAGTTTTTTTCAATTAAAGACGAAATGTTTCAACAAAAAAGAACCCGTCCAGAGGACTTGACTCAACCTCGTTAGTCTCAACTGGTTTATTTTTGCTCGTTTGTGATTCAGAACCCACAAACCAAGCTCTTTAAATCACTTTAGAATCTGTATCTTTTTGGGGAAATCAGGGACGACATGGACCCAGGAAATAATCGACCTGCTTCTTCATAATGGAGACGCAGAGGCCTGCCAACGAGCCCCCACTCCACAACGCAGCCCCTTTCTAGAAATCGTTTCCCCACCGCCGATCCCTTCAGGTGCGTATTTCTGCCTCCCAAACACCTCTGACTTCAGCACGTCACAAATTCTGAAGGAATAAGATAAGGCCCAGGAAAAAAAAAAAAAACTTCTGTTGCATCCTAATGGTCAAACTGCAACTGTGACTTTAAAAAAACAGTTTTCTTGCAAAGTTAGTGCCAAGAGTAAAAGAGTTAGTCTGATTAATTTTAAAGTGATGTTCTGTTCTGGTAAATAGTTATCAATAATTTGTATCTTCTGATAGGTGAGCTGGATTGGGAGACCTTTGCTCAGGCTAATTGTAGAACACCAGTCACGTGACTATGTCTGTTTGACACTGCATGTACAAACTCTCATAGCAGCTCCACTGAAATCAATGGAACTGCTCCAGTTTAGCTGTTTTAACTTCAATAAATTAGGAAAAACAGCATTAAACTCCATCGGAAGGACCACAAATCATTGTGCTACAGTTCTTGTAACAGCAACTCAGCCATTGTCCCCACAGTGGAGTATTTTTGTCACTTTTCACACAAAATGTTAGCTAACAGCTGATTCGAGAAATGGGATGAGCTGAATTTGACCAGAAAAAAGTGCAGTCGTGAACTTAACGTCTGCTCCGAACATTTTATTGGAGGTAAAATACCAACACAGTACCACCCTGAACCTACTCCTGCACTTTCCTTTGACAAACATGTACAGTAAAATGCATTTTCTTTTTACTGTAGCCTACTGCTAGCTTTACTCGTAGCATAAAACATGCACATACTCGTAGTCAGCCACAATTGAAACCAGATATTGACATACACTGTATTAAAGATTTTTTTCACACTGTCTGATGTGAAATCAGAATAAACGTCTCCCGTTTTATGTCAGTTAGGATTACCAAGTTGTTTTTCTATTTGCCAAATGTCAAAATAATTAGAGTTTTTTAATAGCAATTTTTATTAATTTCGTCAAAGTCAAATGTTTAAAATACACTTCATTAGTATTTGGCATCATTTTGGTTTGAGTCAAACATTTTGGATATCCTTCTCCAAGCTTGTCATAATAGTTGCAGGAATTCTGTCCCATTCCTCTTGACAGAACTGGTGGAACTGAGCCATGTTTGAAGGCCGCCTTGCTCACACATGTTTTTTCAGCTTTGACCATTAATTTTTTAACCAGTTTGTCAGTATATGCTTCAGGTCATTGTTCATTTGGAAGATTAATTGTGCCCAAGTTTTAACTTCCTGACTGTCGTCTTGAGATGTTGCTTCAGTAATTCCACATAATGTTCTTTCCTCACATATTTTGTGCAGTGCACCAGTCCCTCCTGCAGCAAAACAACACAACATAATGCTTCCACCCCCGTGTTTCATAGTCAGGATGATGTTCTCAGGCTTGTAAGCTTCCCCCCTTTTCTTCCAAACATAACGACAGTCATTATGTCCAAACAGTTCAGTTTTAGTTTCGTCAGACTAAAGGACATGTCTCCAAAGGTTAGGGACTTTGTCCCTGTGTGCATTTGCAAACATTAATCTGGCTTTTTATATTTCTTTTGAAGTAAAGGCTTCTTCCTGGCAGAGTGGCCTTTCAGCCCATGTGGACACAGTACGTGTTTCACTGTGGATAATAACACTCTTACCAGCTTCAGCCAGCATCTTCAGGGCTTTTGTTTTTGTTCTTGGGTTGATTTCAGACTAAAGCATGTTCATCTCTGGGACACAGAACTCCTTTGTGAGCAGTATGATGTCCCATCTTGTTTGTATTTGCATATAATTGTTTGCACAGACGAAAGAGGCAACTTCAGACATCTGGAAAATACACCCAAGGATGAACCAGACCTGTGCAGGTTCACAATTCTCTTCATAGCATGTTGGCTGATTTCTTTTTACTTTCCCAAGATGTTACACAAGGAAGCAGTGTGTTTCAGGTGTGCCTTAAGTTACATCCACAGGTTTGTTTCTAACTAACTCAGATGTTGTCAATTATCAGTAGCTTCCAAAGACATGACATCAAAGGTTCTAAATTGTTTAAAGCCAAAATCTTAGTGTATTTAAACTTTTGACTTTAAAAATAGTATTAAAAATCGCCTTACAAAATTCTCTCTCATTATTCTAGCATTTAGCAAATAGAAAGCATTTCGTAACCCTATGACCTAAAAGAGGAAAACTTTATTCTCATTTCACGTCAGACAGCGTGAAAAAAAAATGCGTGTCTTTTTATATAGTGAATGTAATTAACTGGTTTCAAAATGACCCACAAGACCTCAGTTTTCAAACTAAATTGTTAATGTTTTCTTTCTAAGATGTAATGTTTTTTTGTTTTTTCTGAACCTAAAGTTCATTGTATGGATCCTATTAACACGTTAATATTTTCCCAAGTTCAAAACTAACTAAACTTGGTGTCTCAACTTCATCCTGAGCTCCTTTTTCTTAGAACATGATGAAAATCATACAAAATCTGATCATTGTCTTGCAGTCCTTTGATCTGAGGCATCAAAAGGAAAAAAAGAAAGTGTGTTTTAAGTTTTTTACCAATCCTTGTATTTATATCTTAGGTCTTGAGCTTCTGGCTAAAATGGACCCACCACGACTCATCAAGACCCATCTTCCCATTCAGCTGGTGCCTCCTGGATTTTGGGAAAACAAATGCAAAGTAAGACCTGATCTCTGACAGCTTTATCAGAGCAAGGATCCTACACCCTGTTTTATTGGCCCTAACTAGCCAGTAAATGTYCACTGATGGGGGTGAAAGGTTCAGGATACAGCGCAGAGAACTAGTGCTGGAGGTTAATAATACAGTACCAAACTGTGATGACCTGTGATGACTTGCTTCCTGTATTGCTGCTGTAAACTTTGTTTCCCCTGATTATGGCGTGAAGGCGATCTATGTGGCGCGTAATGCCAAAGACAACTTGGTGAGCTACTACTACTTCGACCAAATGAATAAGAGCCAGCCTGAACCCGGGACCTTCGACGAATATGTCAACAAGTTTATGCGAGGAYAACGTGAGTAAATGTCATTGCTTTGTTTTCCTGCGTATTTGAACCAAACCCTCATTTTGCATTGAGTCAATGCACTTTTACACAATATAAAAGTGCTTGGTAACTTTAGAAATCACTGACAGCTTGTGTTTCAGATTAGCAGTGAGCTCTCTTGAAAACTCGTTTTATTGGCCCTTGTTCAACATGTTTGAGACATTTTTGCCATAACATTCAAAACAACTTTATTTATTCCTAAAAATCCTTAATTTCTTATAGTTTTCATGATTAATTTTTTAAAAATCAAAAAGAAAAAATAAGTGGGTCCTCTGGATGGGTTCTTCTTTAGTGAAACGTCTCGTCTCTCCTCCAAGAGACTTCTTCAGTCTGATGAGTTTCAGGTGAACTCAGCTTTATAAGCACTGCCTCCACATGGACAAACAGGTTAGTCACATGCAAAAGAGGGCCATTGCCTAACAATAGGCTTGATTAGCTCTATTTAGTCACATGCAAAAGAGGGCCAACGCCTCCCCTTAATTTTTTACTTTTGATTGTAAAGATGGCTTTTGCAAATAAATTTCCAGTATATGTTCAAAATCATCAGCTCAGTGGAACATTTTCATTGTCTGGAACCAAAATATTGAGAGGAAAAACTCCAGCAGAACCYGGCCCAAAATGGGCAGCCATGTGCCTCCACTGTGGGGTCAGAGAGGACAGGAAAGTGACACAGACAAACACAGTTTGTTTAGTTTTGTTTTGAATCCTCCACAGTATCCTGGGGCTCCTGGTATGATCATGTGAAAGGTTACTGGGCGGAAAGGGAAAAGAAGAACATCCTTTACCTCTTCTACGAGGACATGAAAGAGGTCAAAACTCTTTGCGACATATTTGTGCACGTCCCGTGTTTAACCTGTGAATGTAAACGAAARGTGATTTGTGCTCCAACATTCTCGCAGAACCCTCGGCGTGAGGTGGAGCGTATCATGAGGTACCTGGACTTGTCGCTTTCTGACGAGGTCATCAGCCGAATTGTGGAGCTAACATCTTTTGAGAGCATGAAAGAAAACCCGATGGCCAACTACTCCTGCATCCCAACAACTGTTTTTGACCATTCCATCTCTCCCTTCATGAGGAAAGGTGAGTTGGTCTGTCAGGATGCTGAGAYAATGTATCGTTAAAATAGACACAAGAGTAAGAAGTTAAAAGMTCACCTCTCTTTAAACCCTTTCCTGCAAAAATTATGATAAACTCAGTTAGGATTTTTTTTACTAAGTGTTTTTATACATCCTTAGGGATGCAAAACAAGGTTTAAAATTTTTTCTATCTTTATTTTTTAAAGAAATAATTATTTGTACACTCAAGTGTACTTCATGCGTTTTGTACTGTAAAAAACATAAATGTAATAACATGGTAATTACHTAGGTACAGTTCTAATTTAGTTATACAGTTGTAATGGTATTCTGTTGGAATGGTGGTTCCTCCACTCCTCTGTAGTCCTCTCTATTTGAGCTCTATTGATAAACGTAAAAGTTAACATAAACATAAAATTATGTTTTCACTAGGCGTTTTCATCTTTAGGGATGTAAAACAAGGTTAAAAATAAAGATATATGCTCTGAACTGAGGAGGATAGTGTGACCCAAGTCACAGTCTGAACTAGGGCTGCACAATATATGGAAAAAGTACCATCATCGCAATAACTGCTTGTGCAATATGCATATAGTAACAAATGCATAAACTGTTTGCATTTATGAGTTTTGTCACTTAGACGGAAGCTTGAAGTATTTCACCAATCAAATGGAGCCTTTCATATATTACTCTTCATATTTTTAAAAATTCATACTAGAATGAAAATGATTAGTTTTGTTTCTTTGTTTGTTTTTTTTGCTCAGAACGAGCAGAAAACACCAACACTACATACTTATGTATTTGTTCATTTATTGCAAGTCAAATCGTCATCGCAATATTAAGCACTGTTATCACACATCACAGGTTTTCCTGATATCGTGCAGCCCTACTCTGAACTGTAGATCCTCATAGAATCTTGACTGTAACTGTTTTTTTAATCAAAATGTATTCTTGTTAAGTCTTCGAACTGAGCATATTCTCTCAGCAATCTCTCTCATAGCATTATAATATTTATTTTTTGGCCAGACAGTATATAAAAATTTATATATAAAAAAATCAAATTACATTATAATTATATAAAGTTGATTTACAACCAAAACTGTATAGGATATGAATTATTTTCAAGAACAACATGGGTAATAACTGATATTGCATTGAAGATGAAACGTAGCCAGTGATGCATGATGTACAATTGAGTGGACATGTGTTTAATCTGTATTTTCTACAAAGATAAACTCAAAACTTGGAAAATCTTTACATATTATGTCACCTTACATGTTACTTGATGTAATTATATATATATATATTTTTACCTGCAATGGTATCTTTTTTATGGAAGGTAGAAACTGAAATAGCCGAGGTGTTTGTTCAGTCTCCCCATCTGTCAGCCATCTTGGTTTCACTGACTATTTTTTCCCATTGCAATGACCAGCCAATAGGATTTCTTTGTATGAGATGATGTAATAGCTTCCACTAGAGTGGATTACATGCAACACTGCCCAAAATTGCAGGTATATACCTATATAGAAAAAAAAACACTTTTAAACAGCTGTACACTGTAGTGACCTCTATGCACGAAAGGGTTATGAATGGTGTCTGTAAGCATTTCAGTGTTGCCCTCTAGAGGCAACTAATTTGATCATTACTCTGCATGTTGTCGCTTCACAAAATGACCTTTCATATTTTATGGTTTTGTTTTATTTTACCCAGTAAGTCATTTATTTGAAAATAACTTTTATTACACCCAAAAGTTCAAATTTGGCTTTTACTCTTTAGTTATCACAATTTAAGTTGAGCCATTTTGAAGTGTTTATGTTTTGTATGAAAAAATTGAAAACAGTAAATATCTTACCTGTAGAGGATAACGTTTGAAACAACCTCACATTGGAGAAACGACCCTTAACCCAACTTGACAAGCTAACGGCTTGTCTGAATACAGCTAAGACCAAGTGGGCTGCTGTTATCCCAAAACAGCTTCAGTCTTCATCATCTCATTGAGATGTTGCTTTTTGTCAATTCTGTATTACAGCTACTTGGAAGGAAATCTATGGTTAATTGCAAGTGCAGCAGCTAGCTGTAGCACATTCCAGGGCGATTAAAGAGGCACTTATTTTGCAAGAATACCAGTAATGCAAACTTGATGTCAGCATTAAAGTGTAAAGTTTAATATATTTMTGTGAACCAATATGAAATTTTGAAGACTGAATTTGTTTTAAAGGAATAATCTGCTAATTTTATTTATTTATTTTTTGCAAATTTATATCAGATATTTATCAATAGCTAATACCTTTTCAGTTTTTTCAGTAGTTCAGTTGAGTTTTGTTGCCAGTTTTTGTGCTTCCAAATAATCCTTGAATTTCTTGTAAATTACAGTAAAGCAGGATTGAAGGTAGTGTAAAGATTTTAKAGTAACGTTTGTGTGAGCCAGTATGAAAATGAGATACGAGCTGTTTTAATATGACGATCTCAACTGCATTACCTATCAATTAATCAAAGTGGGCAGAATTTAACGTTTCTGCCAAACTATTRAAAGCATTATGAAGCATTAAGCAAGTAAAAGTGATCTATTTATTAGCAAACAGTGTTGATTTTGTCTCTTTTTTCTTTGCCATACAGGTGAAGTCGGTGATTGGAAAAATCATTTTACACCTGAGAAATCAAAGGTGTTTGATGAAGATTATAAAAAACAAATGAAGGACGCCAACATACCATTCAGGACCCTCATCTAAAGGATGTATATCTTTTTTTGAGTTTCCAAATTTCCCTCCTTCAATCGACCAGCTGTAACTTTTTCGGTCTTTTATGTTGAACGATGCAATCACTGTAAATTCTTGAAAAATCACGTGTTAAAGGGTGAATAAAAATGCGCTTCACAACACAAGAAAAGTAGTTTTTAACCGTCACTTTATTATCGAGCTTATCGCAGTAAACAATAAATAAGACCAGAAGTGTTGTGACTGAGTGGACATGCCCATTTTATGAGACCTCCATCAGAGTCGGCTGACTGTGTGGTGCTTATAGAGAGCGCTGGCAGCTGGAGGCTAATGTTTTTGTTTATACTTCTTCTTTCTCTGCTCTTAAGAAGTCATTTTGCAGCCCTACACCACATTGTAGAGAGCCCAGCTAAAGCAGGGAGGCTGCACGAGATACAGTACGAGCAACACAGATAAARGTAAGGAGCTGGAAAGTCAATCATAAGAAAATGGACAGAAGACACAAAACACAACAGCTGAGAATATCCAATGTTAACAAAAACAATTACCTTTAATACATACTTTATGTCTTAGAATAAAATCTTAAATATCTGAATACTTTAACAGTAGGGATTCTCCCCATGAAGTCAATTTAACCTTCTTTATACAGAAACTGTTTTTCTGTTTGTTTTTCACAATTTTTATTGTTTTTTTTTTTTATTTTCCAAGTGTTTTTTTTTCTTCGCTCTCTTCTATTGATTGGCTCACAATGGCTCCCCCTGTTGGTTGTAATTTCTCTCTCTCTTCTTCACCTCTTCAACCCTTTAGATCCCCATCTTCTTCTTCTACATCTCTACATTGTAACTGTACCTGATGAGTAAAAAAAACACACCAGTTAGAGAAAGGTGTTTATAGGCGTGCGTTAAGGCGAACAACAAAAGCGGATGCTGAAGGACAACATGTGAAATACTCTTGGACAAATTGAGACAAAGTCAGAGTAATAGAAAAAAATCTCAGTAATAATCTCAGTAAGAAAGCAGGCTAAGAAGTTATCTTACTAAAAATTAGCTGAAACACTAAACAAACTGAACTGAAAACAATATGCACCGTAAATAAACTATAAATAAATGCTTTGCCATTTTTATATTTTGGTTTTAAATGCAATAATCAACATTTGGACAATTTACGTTACCGGGCACAACTAATAAACTTAAAAAATGTCTGTAACTCAGTCACTTTTACAGATATCAAGCTAGAATTTGGTGTGGTAGTAGCTGATAAATATATATTTTTGAGCTCTAACTATTTGCACAATATCTTTATTTAAAACCTAGGGATGAAAGGGCAATAAGCATTCCTTCAGGGAGTTTAAAGAGATCTATAATGTAGTTTTTAACAATGTAAATTTTAAGTATTTAAAAAACTAATGTCTCACAGGAGTATTTCAAGTAATATGTATGCCAACTACAGTATTATATCATTCTACACCTGTTTATATCACTCTATAATTTGTTACAACCCCCACCCAAACTGGATTTTTTTTGAGCTACTGATAAAATTTTACTAGAGGAAATGAAAAAAAAAAACTTTGTTGGCTACACTGATCTCACTTCTTCCATAAAAACAGGCAACCAAGCACAAACATTGTGACACTGAAGAGCAGCGGACTGACTCACCTGCACAACTTCAACATAACAACAAACTAAGATAAGAGGAGGACGCCACAGGTTGAGACCTGTCTATGCTGGACATAAACTAGAGCACACACACACATACACACACAGAAACCACTGATACACAGTTTACAGCTGCRAGTAGTGCAAGCTGAGGAATACCTTGCTTTAGTTACAGGTTAACGATGATGGGTTGAATGAATTTATTCTGGAAATGAACAAAAAAGGTCAGTGAGTTAATGGTGAATAAAAAGGAGATTGGGATTAAATGGAACAGGCAGATTAAACCAGARTTAATATGTAATTAAACAATGTAATGGAAAAACTCAAGATGAGGATTAAATATGTTAAGTATTTTTCAAATATATTAAACATTAAAACAATATGAAGGTATTAATAACTTCATTACCGGAGTTAATGTCATGATTTGTTGGCTTTTTAATTTGTATTAAAAGYGAAGATGGATAAAAAAAGAAAAGCTTCTTACTCTCAACGTAGTTGCGGGCAACGAACTTCAACACCTCATCAATGAGGATGACTGGGAAGGAAAGCTTCAGGACCATGATCCATTGTTCTGTACTCAGATGGGTCAACTTAAAGATCATCTGTGGAGGAGAGAAAAGAAACAGTTTAAACATTATCATAAAAAAAGGAAGGCGGTAACAAAACAGCTCCCAAACTGTGTCTCAGAAGAGTGTGGACGTCTGACTCACGGGCAGAGGGTCGACGTAGATGATCATGAAGTGCAGGGACATGGACAGGGTCATGGCAGCCAGCAGCCAGAAGTTGCTCCATGGTGGCATGCGCACCAGAGACTGGTTTTCAGACAAGCTTTAAGAAGGAAAGGCTGTATTTTTTATCCATTTATCTATACACATAACGTACATACAGTACATTCATGTTGTTCTGACTATACCCTTAATCTTTGTGAATTCGTACCTGTTGAGAGCGTTGCACATCTCAATGGTGACCAGCACAGACAGGGCCATGGTCATGGGAGGAGCAGCCTCAAAGATCTCACAGTCCAGGCCGGCGAAGTCCTCGTTCTCGTCGTGGCACTGCATGAAGTGGGACTGCACCAAAAAACACGCAAGGTTAATAGTCATTCTAGATGTGTTTGTGAAAGGCAGACAGAACCCCACCTCCAAAACAAACAAACAAACAAACAAACAAACAAACAAATAAATAAATAAATAAATAAAAAACATTGTTTACCAGCTGGTAGTAGGTGACACCGGGTCCAGTTTGATCATAGATGAACCACCAGGCAGCACCACCAACGGTGGCAGCGCCAACATATCCTGTTTGGGACAGACCACAATGCTGTTTTTTCCTACAAAGAACAACATCTAAAGAAAATCCTCACAACTTTACTTACCACCAATGGCCATGTATCTGAAGAACAGCCAGCCAGAGATCAGAGGCTCCTTGGGGGAACGTGGAGGCTTGCCCATGATGTCCAGGTCGGGGGGATTGAAGCCCAGAGCGGTGGCGGGCAGACCATCAGTGACCAGGTTGACCCACAGCAGCTGGACGGGGATCAGAGCCTCGGGCAGACCCAGAGCAGCAGTAAGGAAGATACTGACGGAGCGCAAAAACAAAGAATGAAGCAAAAGCACAGATGAGGTGAGCTGCAGAAACTGAAAGCTCAGAAGCATCGACTGGGAGGGGTGAAACTCACCAGACCACCTCACCAACGTTGGAGGAGATCAGGTAACGGATGAACTGCTTCATGTTGTTGTAGATGGCTCTGCCCTCCTCAACAGCAGCCACAATGGAAGAGAAGTTGTCGTCAGCCAGGACCATCTCAGAGGCAGACTTGGCAACGGCAGTGCCAGAGCCCATGGCGATGCCAATCTCGGCCTTTTTCAGGGCGGGGGCATCGTTCACYCCGTCACCAGTCTGAAGGAGGAGGCAATTAATCCAACGAACCATCAAACAATCTGCATTTTTATATAAAAAACTACTACTTGTTTCAAAAAACTTGTTTCACTGATCTTACCATGGCAGTGATGTCATCGTAACCCTGCAGGTACTCAACGATCTTGGACTTGTGGGCAGGCTCCACACGGGCAAAGCAGCAGGCCCTGCGCACAGCCTCGGACTGCTCGTGGAGAGGCAGATCATCAAACTCACGTCCTGTGTAGGCCTTGCCTTCAACGTCCTCATCCTCTTTGAAGATGCCAATGCGACGGCAGATAGCGATGGCAGTTCCCTTGTTGTCACCTGATGTGGAAAGAAGAAAAAAAAAGATGTCGTGGGTCGATGATGTGTGAGAAGGTGATAAAACTTGGCTGATAATGTTTACGAGAATCACAAAAGGTTTTTCAGATTAAAAATCCCGTCTTTTCCCAAGACTCACCAGTGATCATAATGACACGGATTCCAGCCTCCCTGCACAGCTCGATGGAACCAGTGACCTCCTTACGAGGGGGATCCAGCATACCCACGCAGCCAACAAAGGTCAGGTCAGTCTGAGGAGAGACGCATGTTAATCGTTCAAACCAACAGGCTGTCGGAGACTTTCTATTCAAACTATCAGTTTGTTCATTTTCTCACCTCATAATCAGCAAACTTGGTTGAGTCCTCGAGGTTCATCTCCTCTGGTTTCAGAGGGGAGTCACGGGTGGCCAAAGCCAGACAACGCAGGGTGTCACGGCCAGTACCCCAGTCCCTGATGACGGCCATGATCTTCTCCTTGATGGCGTTGGTCAGAGGCACGCGTGTGGTGCCAACACGCACATATGCACACCTGTCAATCACACCCTCTGGGGCACCCTGCAGAGATACCATCATGGTTGTGTTGATTTTTTTTTTTGTATTTCTTTAAATACATTTCGCTCAGGGGGATGGTTAGTGAACACTCACTTTCACAAACATCTTGGCACCACCGTCACCCTTAGTTGGAGTGCAGTAGACGGACATGGACTTCCTGTCACGGGAGAACTCCAGGGTGAAGTTCTTCTTCATGAGCTGCTTGATCACCTGTTGGAGGACAAAGAAAGGAGAGACATTTTACCACCTGCGTAGTCACATCTACACTACAGCCCAGACTGAGGCTCTTAGTTGTCTATGTTAAACCTACAGTGCAGCATGCGTTGGCTCTCTCAATTCTGGACAGGTTCTTCACGTTGCTGTTAAACACGTTCATCTTCTCAACCAGGCAGCACAGGGCGGTCTCAGTAGCCTCACCGACCTTCTCATAAATCTTCTTGGACTAGAAAAACAAAACAGCAGGAGAAGGAATAAGTTGGCTGCAATGTTCAATTCAATTCAATTCCAGTTCAGTTTATAAATAGCGCCAAGTCACAACATACGTCATCTCAGGGCACTGTACACAAAAAAAACCAACAACAACAACAACAAAAACAATCTYAGGAAGCCAGCAGATGGTGTTGAATCACATCATCATAGTCTCCCATCCTGAGCAGCACATTGGCAATAGTGGAAAAACTCCCTTTTTACAGGAATAAACCTCCAGCAGAGCCAGGCTCAGGACAGACCGTCATCTGCATAAGCCGGCTGGGTTTGGGGGGACAGGAAAGAGACATAGAGAAACACAGAATTTTTAACATCACATTTTACCTCATTGAAGTCCAAAGAGGAGTCATTGCACAGGGCACAGATGGTTGCCAGCTCAACAAGGCCGTCACACTGGCTGCAGTTCACCTTGTTACCTCCCTGGGTGCTGAAGGAGACGAATGCAAACAGGTTAGAGATGGTTCATGTACAGGAATGGCTCATGTTGCACGGCAAATAAAGGTGGACTTACACCTCGCCTTCAGGGGTGTATTTGGATCCAGAGATATCAAAGGCATCAAGGTCAACGTGATCTCCATCAACATTCTTGATAACAAACATCTTCGGAAGGAAGGAACAAAAGTTGTCTTTTCA